TAATAATAATAATTAATATCATAATCTGTGTATGTTATCTTTCTTGTTTTGTATCCTGTAGAGCCAAATTAAAACTAGGGTCCTTAGGCCCTATAGGAGAATTGTCGTTTAATTGATTGCACTTAGTATATAGGATATTCCTAGTAAGGTGATTTTCTGGGCAACTTCTATGTTGATGTTACCTGGGACACTGTTAGTAAAATTGTCCATTCCTTTCCTCACGAGACCCAGAGCTCTGATTACTATTGGTACAGTCTCAGCCTTCATTCTTGTTAATCTCGATCTCCAGGTCCTTGTATTTGGACAATTTCTCGATAATTTTCATGGTGGTGTTTCTCTAATATGTTACTGCTATGTCAAAAAGTAATACCTGAATTTCTCGTTGTGGTTATAATATCGTGTCTGTTGGCTATTATTTTCCCTGTCAGTTTGAATTGGCATGTCCCAGAGGATAGTTACATCGTATTTTGGGTAACTGTGTCTGATTGGTGGTCATACCATCTCACAGTGGTTTTGTTTTTGTGCTTTCTGCATATCTTCCAGTGCACATATGTCGCTAGCTTATGTCTGTGGGTATATTCATTTTTTTTGCAAGTTCCGGACATCTTGAGATAATATGGTCGACTATTTCATCATATTTTCATCAGATCCTGCATTTCGGGTTACTTCCATCCTTGATTATGTAACAGTGATAGGATCTGGCTGCGATGATTTGGTCCTGAGCTGCAATAATTAGGACTTCTGTCTCGGCTTCCGGCCTGGTGAAACTCAGCCACTTATGTGTTTTCTGTTGGGCCACATCTGCTTTTTTCGTTCTTTTTTTATTTGCCATACAAAGCCTTCTCCTCTCATTTTTGTTGTAATTTCATTTGGCCAAGTTGTTTTGCTTTCTGTTTTACTCGTCTGTCGTAGATGGTATTGGCTTCGTTTGTTTCTTGGTAGGATTTCAGGTATATTAAGCTGTTTCTTGAAGAGTGTGGCTTCTTTGTTGATGGAGTGGATTTGGTGTTTTACTATTTGTAGAAGGTCATTGGTTTTTCTGAGGTAGGCTTTCAATACGATTGTTGTATTTTTTAGTGTTAATTCAAGTTGGATTAATCCAGGCCTCCTAAAGCTCTTGGTACGTACAGCCTATCAACATCTGATTTCGGGTGCTACATCCTCATTTGGGTAAACATTTTCCTGAAACTGGCCTCCGATCTTTTAATGTCATTCAACTTCCATTTAATAATGTTGAAGCTGTATGTTACTACGGGTAGAAATCTAAGGTGTTATTAGGCCTTATTTTATAGGCCCTATTAATATCAATATTATAAGCACTCTCCTATAATCTTTTCGAATCATTTTATTATCATTATTATTATTATTTTCTTTGATTTCTGGCGTTTACACATTTCTTTCCAGGTACCGCCCAGGGAAAGAAATTACATAGATAAAGCCCTTCGTAAAGTGTGGGCTGTACTTGTCAGAACAATTTTTTGTATCTCCTTGAGGCATGGACTTCCAGGAATCCCTTCAATTAGTCTACTGCAATCTTTTCCAACCAGTCCTAGGGCTCCAATTACAACAGGGATTGTTGATGTTCCCATATGCCACATTTTCGAGATTTCTATTTCAAGGTCCTTGTATTTTGACAGCTTTTTGAATATCTTCAAAGATACATTGCAGTCCACAGGGAGTGCCATATCAATAAGGAGGCACCGTTTTTGTTTGTGGTCTTTAATAACAATATCTGGGCGGTTGGCTTTGGTTGTTCTGTCAGTGTGTATTGTGCAGTTCCATAGAATTGTAACAGGTCCTATCTCCGTAACCGGGTCTGGGTGGTGTTCATACCAGTTTCTTTCAGTTTTCTTCCCGTAGAAGTTGCAGATTTTCCAGTGCAAATATTGGCACACGCTGTCATGCCGGGTTTTGTATTCAGTGGGTGCCAACATCGTGCAACCTGATACAAGATGATCAATCGTTTCTGGATATTTATCACAGAATCTGCATTTTGGGCTAACACAATATTTTAGTATATGTGCTTGATAATTCCTAGTTAGCAAGTATTGGTCCTGCGCAGCAAGGATAAAACCTTCAGTTTCCGCTTTCAACCTTGCACTACGTATCCAGTGATGGGTACGATTATTATTATAATTATTATTATTATTGAAATTGACACAAAGTAATATTACAGCAAAAACAAGTTGAAAGTCAAAAAGTTCCAATAGAGAAAAGGCTACTTGAAAGAAGAATAAGCACATTCTGGAATAAAACATGAGGAGGTGACGAAGGTTTTTAAAAAACTAGGCAAATGCAATGATCTGTACACGGAAAGAGAATAGAATGTGACACGAAAGAATTAAAATTGTTCCTGTTGTGGATGAAGCTTTGGAACTGATAAAGAAAGGAACTCAACAATAAATCAACAAAATCCTTAGTGAACCATCTCTCCAGGAAATTTATTTTTAACAAGCAGATCCCATATCCTGCGAAGAGTTTTGTCCATTTCTTTTATTAATAGTTGTCTTTTGTTTAATTAAATAAAGACAACAAAAAAATCAGATCCTTCGCTTGCCGTATGTCATTGATAGAAACCTTTTATGGGATTACAAAATAAATGAAGGTCAAAATGAATGCTTTAAATAGCAATAAAATCTCATTCTATGATATGTCACGATCGAAATAGCTAAATGGTTTAGGCTACTGTAACCGAGTAGAACAATCTAGCAGGTAGCAGTAATGGAACTGATACTCGTCGTAGTCACAGTCAATAGGTGTAGGCAAGAGGCGTAGACCAATAGGATAACCAATGGCGTAGTCCAATGGGCGTCGTCGTCCTGTACCTCTACATCAGCCTGTATTTATGGCTGACACCAGCCAATCCTATTCCTGTGAGGGGGAACACAGGTGTATCCATATTCATTCCATCCTTCTACTAGAAATATTTCGATTACGCGAGAAAATTTTCGTCAGTCTTGGTTTCCATTTCAAATTTTATTTGTCTCCAGATATTTTCTTCAATCATTCTCATATTTTACATCTTTTTTTGACTTTAATTCTTCATCGTTATTTTATTTATTTTTTTTTTTGCTGGAAATTTTTTTACAGTCTGATTCAGTCATAAGAGCGAGACATCGAATAGATTCAAACTTATGAAACGATTTTCTTAATAATATCGCTACCATCGTCGTTATTCAATAATGCCGGAAAGAATATTTCCTTTCTCTTTTTTTTCTTTATCTTTGCCCCTCACACAGAATTTTTCATTTTTCTCAAGATATTTCATTGTTTCACTTTCAGTTCATTTTTTCTTTCTTTCGATTTCTTCGATAATTTACCAATTTTTCCGCAGATATTTCGATCTCGATTTTCATTTCTGTTTCATTTTTTTATGACACTTGTATCATTTCACCTCCCTCGTGTTTGTCTTTTTCTTTTTCTTTCTTTCTTTCTTTCTTTCGTTCTTTCTTTCTCAGTCTGTTCCTAATCTATCTATCTATCTATCTATCTATCTATCTATCTATCTATCTATCTATCTATCTATCTATCTATCTATCTATCTCAGTCTGTCCCCAATCTATCTATCTATCTATCTATCTATCTATCTATCTATCTATCTATCTCAGTCTGTCCCTAATCTATCTATCTATCTATCTATCTATCTATCTATCTATCTATCTATCTATCTCTCTCTCTCTATATATATATATATATATATATATATATAAGTCTGTTCCTAATCTATCTATCTATCTATCTATCTATCTATCTATCTATCTATCTATCTATCTGTGTCTGTTCCTTATCTATCTATCTATCTATCTATCTATCTATCTATCTCTGTTCCTTATCTATCTATATGTTTTTCTCTTTGCATGAGTTGTCTGTTATTTCACTCGTGTTTGATTCAATTTTTCCTTTTCGTCTCGACTTGCACATTTCTATTTTTCTTTTTGCTTAAAATAGAGATGCACAAAAATGAGAAAAAGAGAAATCCGAATAAAAGTCAATCACAATAATAGTAACGACGACTCTTAACAGCGAGTAAGTGACAGCGTTCCCCTGCTACAATTACTCTGACGTTTCAAAATACTTGCATTAATGTTGTCTGCTTTCATTGATTGACTTGGAATAACGCAACGGTCATGTGACACCCATGGCAATGGCCTACATAGAGACTGTGTCACACTTACGCGCATTCTTTCACCGTACTCACGGAGAAATGGTGCAACAAGGTTAAATTCTTCTCGTTGTGGGGGTGGCTACTTGAGAAAGATAAGCCGATGTACGCATGCGTCAACTGGAAAACCCTGACAGGTGAAAAAAAAAAAAAAGATTTCGAAATCGTCTGATATTTTGTTCTTGTTTTGGAAGTAGTTTCTTAAGATATATAGAACCAAGTAATACCAGACTGATTGTAGACAAACGGAAAGTTGAGGCAATTAGAGATTACCTGATATAAAATTGTGTCATTTTGTGCATCAATTTTTTTTTTCTGAATATCACGAATTTCTGAGGATGAGAATTATTAACAAACCATTCTTCGATTCTGTCAGTAATGCTTGTATTAATTCCTGATCACTGAAAATTCCTTTCTTTCTTCATTTTTAATTCACAATATATAAGTTCAGTGTTAAAAAAAATGCTCAAGAAAATTTCAGATCAAAATTTGAAAAATTCCCTGTTTAATCTATCGATTCTATTTTTACAAATTGATTAAAACTAAATGGCAGAATAGAGATAAAGTGAATAGAAAATAACCAGAAAACCCAAGTCTGTCTCGATTATATCTGGTTTAACTGTTGTTAAAATTCAATTATTATTTTATTTTTGTCTGAACTAGCAAAATGTTATTTCATTATTGATGTAACCGTCATACTGTATGCAAGTCTTAGCGCCTTTTAAATGTGAAATCACAGGTAATTTATACAGATGTTTATTTAGTTTATCTATATAAATATCGTGCAGAGCGAAATAATCATTTTTTCAGTTGATTCCTGGTATTTTTCTTCAAACAGTTAAGATCTTAACGTACAAGGAGTGGAAAACGGAGAAGACGGATAGGCAGGGAGACAAACATTGGAACAGTCACGCAGAGAGATATACAGAGAGACACACAGACCGATCGACACCCGGACAGGAGGAAAATTAGGTCGGTAGAAAGCGATAGGGTAACATGCAAAATCGAGGAAATTCTGCACATTCTGATGAGTGCAAATCTTCACAGGTAATTCAAATTGGGTTGGAATTTCAGAAACATTGAATCGCAAGAGAAGAAATATAACCTGAAGTTCCAGAAACCTCTAAGATAAGTAAGTCATACTGGAAAACAATTTCGAACCCTTGCCGCTTCCAAGAAGAAATTGTCAGAGAAAGAAAGGGGCAAAGACAGAGATGGAGACGAGTGTGTACGCTTGTATGTGAGAGAGTGTGACAATTGCCTGTTTCTATGAGAGAAAGTGAGAGAAGCTGTGCGAGTGTGTCAGTAAAAAAGAGAAAAAGGAAAGGACAAAGGCAACTTATATGCTAGCTGCAGAAGAACGGCAAGAGAATTATGTCCTCATGAGTTCTGTCTATATCTATGAGATGAGGAATTATGATTACTTGCAATTTTTACATTATTCGGACTGTTATCTTCATCTTCATTGCCATATTCACAACATTTCGGCCTCTATATCTCTGAGATGGGGTATTATGATTACTTGCATTATTTACATTATTCGGACTGTTATCTTCATCTTCAATGCCATATTCACAACGTTTCGGTCGTTGTACGCTCCGGTCTTCTTCAGGTAATTGAGGTTTCGAACCGAACTCTTTATTTCGTCCATTGTTCTAGTTCCACATGCCATCCCTTTTCCGGATGTCCCAGTTAATTCCCCTTAATTCAACTCTCCAAGTTTGGCCTCACCACTGCTGTGGCCTGGTATTGAACTCACAACTCTTTGGTTCTAGTCAGTCGATCTAACCAACGCCTTTATTCAGTGAACCTAGGTGAGTTGAGTTAAAGGGAAATAACTGAGACATCCAGAAGAGGCATGGCACGTGAAACTAGAACAATGTACTCCGTAGGACGAAATAAATCGTTTGATTCGAAATTCTAATCACCTGAAGAAGGCCGGAGTGTACAACGGCTGAAACAGTGTAAATATAGCAATGAAGATGAGGATAACAGTCCGAATGGTGTAAATAATGCAAGTCGGCATCAGTTGTTGTCCATTGGTCACATCTAAAGAACAGTGAAGGCCACATTGATTAGTATAATGAATAAATATCATAAAGAAATTGACAGTCTTTCACTTCCAGTCGTGCAAGTGGCCGTGAAGCGAGGCATTCAGTGAATAAAGAGCTGATGATTTTGGCAAATATTCAAAAGAGTTTGGTATGGAAGGAAATAGCCCAAGAGAACGTTTTGTAAGCAGAATTTGAAACTGAAGAAATTGTAAGCTTAAATATCTTCAACAGAAAGACTAAAAGCAAAGCACACACATAGACATAAACATACACACAAATACACGCATATACATGTGTGTGTGTGTGTGTGTGTGTGTGTGTGTGTGTGTGTGTGTGAATAGTGATAAAAGGGTTGCATTACCAACCATTCCCTAAAAGTTAATGGATTTTAATTTTAATCCGAGATATTTTCTTTAATCCGACATATTTTACTTTTAATCCGACATATTATTCTTTTAATCCGACATATTTTACTTTTAATCCGACATGTTATTCTTTTAATCCGACATAGTTCATTTTTAATCCGAGATCTTATTCTTACTTTAAATGTCATTTTTAGTGGATTCCTGTATTTGAGTAAACCGTATTTTATTTCGCCTGTCATCCAGCACATTCGAGAAAAGTTATTCTAAAAATGCACCCACCAGCAGAATTCGAAAATGACTCCCTCTCTTTCATCGCTTGCTTCTTTAGCATTTGCTTTGTTTAAGTTTCGGAGATGAAATTGAGCATTTATGACTTTCAAAAAATAAATAAATAAATAAATAAAAAAAAAAAAAAGAAATAAAAAAATAGAACCTTGCTCGATTGTGAAGCTTTTCATAGCCGAGCGTTCAAATCATATCGAAATAAAAGGCGGTTTCTTCTGTATATGTGGACACAATTTTCAATCCTGCCGGAGGGAGCATTTTCTTTAATAGGTTTCTTCGAATAGGCAGGCCAGTAGAGGAAATGAAATAATGTTTAAAATAAATAGAGCGTCTAATCAAATATGGGTATCCACTAAAGATAAGGATTAAAGTAAGGAAAATATATTGCATTAAAAACTAGAACCCATTGATATAAATTTCGTTTAGCATGTAGATACATTTTGAACTATTTACTCCAGATCACCAGGACGATTCGAAATGTTTTATTCCAAAATGTCTAACCTGTACAAGGCCCAAGAGCCACTCAATGTAAATCTACAGATAAGAGGCACAGCTTATATGTGGCGAAAATAACGGTTAGCCCTAGACTTGGATATGTCAAAATTGTATTGATCCGGAAAGTATTCTCTTTGGAGTCGGTTCAACAAGGCAGAGTTTTATGGAAACAAGCTGTTTACGTGAAACTTACATGTCGCCAATTGAATACGAAAGAAATGAAGTCTGTTCGCTACAAATATGTATCACATGGCGGGCTTTAGTCATGAAGGTTAGGGTTTCTGGAACTGTGGAATGTAGTTCATCTGAGCACTTTCAATATAAATAGTGATAGAGCAGTAAGAGCCTTGCGACGTTTTATCTGTAGCAAATGAGCGTCGTAGACTTGAAAAAAAAGGCTCGAACCAAAGAAGGTGTGCATTGACAGACTCATACTCATGGAAATATCTGTAAATATCTGTTAATAAGATAATTAATCCATTGGTTCAAAGGCTGAGGTGGAAGTGGAAAAGTCAGTACATATTTGTTTCGGTTCAAGAAGAAAGGCTTTCAAATAAATAGGAAAAAGATAAAATGGAGATGAAGAAGAAATTAATAGGAAAAAAATTGAGGGGAGAAAATGAGAAAGAAAGAAAAGTTTGAGGAAAATAAAATAGAAAAGAAAGAAAGAAAGAAAGAAGAAACAAATATGTGTAAAAAAAAAGGAAGGAAGACACAAGAATAATCTAATGAAAGTAAGAAGAGAAAAGTGAAAAAAAGAAAGAAAGAAAGAAGGAAAGAAAGAAGGAAAGAAAGAAGGAAAGAAAGAAGGACACATGTATAAGAAAGGAAGTAAGACACAAGAATAATCTAATGAAAGTAGGAAGGAAAAAGTGTAAGAAAGAAAGACAGAAAGAAAAATGAAAGAAACATGCATAAGAAAGGAAGGACACAAGAATAATATAATGAAAGTAAGAATGGAAAAATGAAAGAAAAAAAGAAAAAAGAAAGAATTAAAGAAAAAAGAAGGAAAGAAAGAAGGACATATGTAGAAGAAAGGAAGTAAGACATAAGGATAAGGTAATGATAGTGGGAAGGGCAAAGTGAAAGAAAGAAAGAAAGAAAGAAAGAAAGAAAGAAAAGGAAAAGGAACAGATTGATAAGAAAGAAAGAAAGAAAAAAGAAAGAAAGATGGAAAGAAAAAAGAAAGAAAGAAAGAAAGAAAGAAAGAAAGAAAGAAAGAAAGAAAGAAGAAAGAAAGTAAAAGAGAGAAAGCAAGGGCGGGATGGCAAGTGCAAAAGACGTAAAGAAAAACAATCTGAAAAGATAATAATTTATAAAGAGGAGAGATTAATCGAGAAAAACGTTTATAAATTGTTTTCAACTATTATCCCAATCTTAATTGTTCTGATCACCACATTTTGCCCGGTACGATTTCATTATCGTTTGTTGTTTTAATCGTTATGTTTCGCACGATGCGCTCTTTGGCCTTCCTATAGAGTGAAGTTCTCTAGAATAAAACATTCAATGGAACCGAACTTGTGTAATAGATATTTAAGTACAAAGCCTGGCTGACCCTATTCATGATATTGCAGTCACACACACACACACACACACACACACACACACACACACACACACACACACACACACACAGGGGGGGTGGAGGAGGAACACAGGGAACGGAATATAGAAAGAGGAAGAGGCAGAGAAACCTGTTGAAGAACGGGAAAAAAAATCAATGGGGTGAAAGGGGACTGGAATGGTCTGTGTATTTCTTAAAGACATTCTGCCAAAGAAATAGTTTTTGCAATTTCGGGCCGAACAGAGGTTAATAAGGTCATAAGGATTACATTAGGTGAGCTAATGATGTCACAGCAGGCAGCTGACTAATTACGCTTAAAATGCCTTAATGTAGGCTGAAGGTCAATTAGCTCTTTGTCTTAGTAATGGCCAATTATGTTCGACGTTCCTCAAATTGTGAGTTCAGTTTTTGTTACTAGTTTTGGCTATGAGTTGGCAAAACATGAATAGAAGCGTGATGGGGAAAATGGTTTGAAAAATGTAAGCTGGAATAGAAACGGAATATGGTAAGAAAAAAACAAAAAAAACAAGAGAAAATTTGCAAGATAGACAGAAAAAAAGAAATATGGATGAAAAATAGAAATGAAACGAAGAAAATAAAAAAAAACGAAAAAAAATAATTTTGATCTTATGCAGAAGTATCGATACGTGATGATATATGTAAAAATCCATTATATGTGACGAACACATGCCATTACATAAATGTATGCATATATATATATATATATATATATATATATATATATATATATATATATATACACACACACATATATATATATATATATATATATATATATATATATATAATAAAAGTGAACATTGAAGTCAACACACGAGGCGACAGGTGGCCTGACGATTGCTTCTAGCATGAAACAGCCTGTCGCCTCCAAGTGTTGACTTCAATGTTCACTTTATATTTACACACGCTCTATCTCTGATATTGAGTACTTTATCCCATAAATATAGCACATCTTAAGATATATATATATATATATATATATATATATATATATATATATATATATATATATATATATGCCTGAATATAATGAGAAGGAAAATAATAAATTCTAACGTTGACAGCATTAATTCAAAAGAGGGCTCAATACCGATAGTAGAGCAATAAACGTTTATTATAATTTTTTCATATAGACAAAAACAACTTACTACAAAGATGCAACATCGTTTCGCTGCATTTAGTTGTACCTCGATTACTGAGGAACAAAATGCTTACCATGGTCACCATTTATGAAAAAAATTATATATATATATATATATATATATATATATATATATATATATATATGATAAAGCAAGCAAAAACTAAAGCTTGTAGATACAACCCTAACAACATTAAGCCTGCCAAACGAAAAAAACTTGAAAAGATAAATGAAAGATGAAACAAGAATAAAGAAACAAAGACAAAAGAAGAAAAGAAGCCTAAAGAAACATAAAAAAAAAACAGATAACTACCTAGGCACTGACCCAAAGTGCTCCATACTTACTGCAAACAGGCTACGACAGAACAGTAACAATAACCAAGGAAACAGCATAATTAAACGACGTTCAAACCTTACCTATACGTTTTACGCAGAGTGATCATCAGATAGCAGGAACGTTGGTTCTTGTCGTGTGATGATTGTTCTGCTCGAAAACACTGGTTAGAGTATATATGGTATATATATATATATATATATATATATATATATATATATATACAAAAAAGGATAATATAAAGGAAAGAGGTTATAGTAGTTCAAATGAAAGAAAAATGTGTATAATATAAAGAAGAGAGAAACCGCAAACGTTTTTTGGTTGTAATGTGATTTTTAGAAAAAATATATATTATGCTTTATTTTACAAATTTTTTCTACACGTGTTTTCGGTCTCGCGACCTTCATCAGGTAAAAAGAGTGGATATCCTCACATATTATAAAAGAAAATAATTTTCATATGTTTTCAACGTTAAATATTCTCGATATTAGACATTCTCTTTTTTGTCTGTTATTGACCCAAATGTCTTCCTTAAACTGGCATTGAAAGAATTCTGCGAGAAGGGTAATACAACAATTAAGTCTGGTCCGAGAAAGGGCGAGAAAGAAATCTATACTCTTATATTTTAATGACCCCTGTGCGTTCTTAGATCTATTTCCAATTTTTTGTGTTTTTGTCAGTTCAGAGAATATATACATATATATATATATATATATATATATTCTCTGTTTATACCTTATTTTTATAGATCCAAATATTAAAGGAAGCGTCTAGTTAACAATGTCAAATTAATCTTTTTAAACTACAAATTTCCCATGATTTCTCTCGAGCGCTCATATCTGCTTCCTCTGTATCTAGATGTTATTGCACGGATCTGTGTAGGATACATATTCTATTTCTGTCGAAAGGCACATATTTTCTATGAAATGTCTCGGACATTGTAAATGATGTTTAATACTGTTTATTATAAACAGAGCATTTACTTAAATATTTGTATCCATAAAAATAACGCATAATCAGAATATATATATAGATAGGTTCCTGCCATCTGATCGAAGTCCATTTCATAACACACACACACACACACACACACACATATATATATATATATATATATATATATATATATATATATATATATATATATATATATGGGGGTTGTATATAGAGAGAGAGAGAACAGAAAGAGAGAGACAGATGTATATGTACAGTGTGTGATAGTAAATTGTCGCCATTTTATATTTTTAATTTCGCGCATGAGCATGATTTTTTTTATTTTGTCGTCTGCATTGTATAGTAGGGTCAGTTGGGCAACGTCTGTGAGAAAAAAAAACGGCATAATGTATTGCTTGGCTTTCCTGTCGGAAGCTCCAACACAAACACTTCAGTGTGTTCGGGTGTCAATCTGAGGACAGTGAAGAGGATTTGGAAAGAGTTGAATGAGTCTAATGGTAATTACTAAGGTACGGCAGTTCGAAAAACTCACTGATTGTTCTGATAAGAAAAGAACTCCCGAATTTGACACAGAGACCTGCCTTAAGTGATTTAAGTAGGTAGTGCGTTTCTAGGCCAATAGGGTGGCTGCTGGAAGATTCTATGTCTGACAACAAGACTCTGCACCATGCCACACAAGCAGGAGAACCCAGTCATGGCTGTCAATTTCTGCAACCACATCGTCCCTGATATCTGGCCACCTAACTCCCTAGAATGCACCCTCCTTTATTATGTGTCGAGTGCAGTTGAGCAAGGGACTAACAAAGCTCCTTGTAATACCAAAGATGAACTGAAGGCAAGAATTATGGCAGCATTCACCAACTTAAACAAGGAGGCCGCCCAGAAAAGTTGCAGGAGATTCCTAAGTCGTCTGGAGGCCGTGGCTGAAGCCAACTTTTGAAGCGATTTATTGAATAAATTTACTCTTTACTATTTCAAGATATTTTTGTGTGATTTTGCGTAAATATATTTGTTAAAATGAAGCGGCAATATTGTCTTTATTTTTGCGTAAATTAGATGACAATTTATCCGTCGCACCTACTATGTATGTATGTATGTGTGGGTGTGAATGTCTGTCTGTGTGTGTGTGTGTGTGTGTGTGTGTGTGGGTGCGAATACCAAAATTATTTTTTAATATTTTTATGAACATCTTAAAATGGCGTAGCATTCTTAACTTTTAGGAAATCAACAACAGCATCGACCATTGTCAGGATTTTTGTTTATCTTGGAAATCGACTGTAAAAATTGATGACCAATGAGGATGGTATAAACCTTTAAATGAACCACTTTCATAGTATTGCTATTTCACTCCCTGCTTCCTGTCACGTGCGTCTCAGGATAAGAGATAAATAGTGTTATGGTCCAGTTCCTTGTACCACTGGGATAGTCCAAGATAGAACCAATAAAGAACTCGAACGTGTATATGGAATAACACAGATATATTACAAACAGGAACATATACAGAGAAGTAGAAAGTGTTAGTACGAACAATCAGGTTTAGTAGGGAGAACAAAGTAGTCTCGACCAGTATCACTATTCCAATGTCTTGCAGTAATCGTCTGAACGCGATTCTGTTTCGGACTGCCTCTGACTCGACTGACTCGCTTGCTATGACTGACTGACAGACTATGGACGGACTTCACTCCAGACTTCAGACTGAACTCTAGACTTCAGACGGAACGGTATTTAGTCGACCCCCCCCCCACGAGGGCATCATGTGGCACAAGACCGGTTTAACGTGGGATCTCCGAGCCCGTGGGCTCGTCCAAAAATATGCCCTTTGAACTCGTATAAACGGGTTCAGGGTCGGTTTACCTCCCCGAAAGAGACTCCGCCCTCCGGCGTAGCCTCGTTCTGGTTCCTCCCCGCCCGAAGGCAGAGAGTTCAACCGATCAGCCGGTCGCCCGACTTCAGACTGAACTCTCTGCTTCCTCTTGAGGCGCAGTATTTATTACGTATGGGATAGTCCATTATGTTATTATGGGTAAGGTCCCATAACAGATAGATAGATAGATAGATAGATAAAGCGAATCATATAGAGATGCGAGTAGATGATAGATAGATACAGTGGCGTACTGGATCAAAAACTTCTACGGAGAAAACCTGTAAACGCGCCCAGTCAAAAGGACTCACTCATAACGTCACTTAATCCCAAAACGTAATCAAAGAAATCAAATAAAATTAAAGTTTTTAGGCAAATAAAATCTTACATCTATTCAATATTGTTTTAATTATTTATGTTAATGCATGCATAATACAAATACTAGAAAATTTGAATAATTACATAATAGATTTTTGGGCCCACCAGGAAATTTCCCGGCATCCCGTCAGGTCAGTCCGCCACTAGATAGATAGATAGATAGATAGATAAGCGAGAGAGTGAGAGAAAGAGATTGATGGACAGAACGAGTTAATGAGATGTGAGCAGAAGAGACAGAGTGATAGAGAGGTAAAGAGAAAATTAAATATATTGTTAACGAATATTATAATCAAGAATCCTCATTTTGCTATGCAAGATCGTTCGTGACGTCTCTAAGACAAGCGTGAGTTACTTGGCAATGGCTGTCTCTCCTGTCCACTTGAAGCACGTAAACACGAACCCTGACCTTATACATGGTTATGTTAAACAAAGAAGCACGTAGACGTTTATACATTTATGTGAAATATAAGTGTAAGATAAAAAGAAAAAGAAATGGTGCGTTATTATGTTTACTTGTGTGTGGCTGTGTGTAAATCTGTATGTGTGTCAAGTCTGCGTATTGATTGCATGTCTGGCTTGGGAGATCCAAAAGCAAAACTTTGCTCTATTGAAAACTGTCGCAGTAGTGAAGGAATAAAGAACTGCTTTCGTGTCGATTAGTACAGAATTATTTTTTTCCTGGTGTAGACACTCAATCGGTCGCCCAGCAAAATCAACAATGTTTTCAGCTTTATAATTCTTTGAGAATTTCCTTGTTTTCTTTTAGACATTCGTCATTTTCTTCTGTTTTCCTTTCGTGTTGAAAGTTTTTTTTCTTTCCTTCTTTTTTCTCTTTGGCTTTCTCTTCTCTGCATCATTCTGATATGCTTGTATGCATAAAGCAGAATACCTGCTATCTAGCGATGGTTAACAAGTTTGTTATTACTTTCTGTCCTGTGTATGACGATAAATTACATCCGCGCCATAGGTAAAACGATGAACTACATCCAACAGCAAGGCCTCTGATCAGGAACTTTTGTAGGCCGTAGACCCACCTCTTAATTGCTGGTGTTCCCAGGTCTATAAATACCCAGGGTGGAAGCACCTGTTAGGGGGTCCTAGCTATGGACACGTAGTTAGCCCCAAACTGGGGTCAAAGAACTATGAAACTGTAAAAATAAGTTTTAATACCAGCAATATTTTTTTGAAAAAAAATATTACCAGCGATACATTTTTTAAAAAAAATTACCAGCAATAAAAATCTTGTTGGCATTAAATAAACCATTGAAGTTGATATGTCGTAAAAAACCAAAAAAAAACAACCAAACCTTTTAATTGTTGGTGTTCCCAGGTCCACTCTGACGCGGGTCGTAGCGCATGACACGGTCCCAGCTATGGGCAAAGAGTTAACTCCCCCAAAGTGGCCAAAACACTATGAAAGTATAAAAAATATTTTAATAACAGTAATAAATTTTTGGAAAAATTTATCAACAATAAAAATCTTGTCGACATTGAATAATAGATAGATAGATAGATAAAAAAATATAACCAGCAATAAAAATATTTCGGCATTAAATAATCCATTGAGGTTGATATGCCGTAAAACAAAACAAACCAAACCAATAGATAGATAGATAGATAGATAGATAGATAGATAGATAGATAGATAGATAGATATGAAGAGACTGAGATAGATATAAACAGATAGATAGATATGAAGAGACTGAGATAGATATAAACAGATAGATAGATAGATAGATAGATAAAAAATATTACCAGTAATAAAAATGTTTCGGCATTAAATAACCCATTGAGGTTGATATACCGTAAAACAAAACAAACCAAACCAATAGATAGATAGATAGATAGATAGATAGATAGATAAAAAATATTGCCAGTAATAAAAAATGTTGTCGGCATTAAATAACCCATTGAGGTTGATATACCGTAAAACAAAACAAATTAAAGCAATCATTAATTCTTCTTTAACCTACAGAGTTTGCTTAATAATCACTTACTGTTAATATGAAATACATGGACGTAAATAAAAGCGCGTTCAAAAGTAGGCAAAAATATCGCAAAAGATGAAATTCCTAAAAGTAAAAAAAAAATAACAAAAAAAAAACAAATTCTTCATAGTTTGTCTTTTCAATTCATCGTTCCAATTTTAATTGTTAATCTTTTCACCCCAAGAAAGGCAACAAAGCCACCAAGAGAGAGTTACTGAGTTCAAGATTTTATAAGAAAATAATAACATTATTAAGGAGAGAGAACAATAGGGGAATAGTATTTAAGAAGACAGAAGACAACGATTTAAGTTTTTAAAGATCAAACTTGACTGGAATGCAAGAAAAAGAGATCCACAATTGGGAAGTGCGAGAAGAGAAATTGTTAGAATATAACTTATAGTTATATTCAGCTTTTTCAACTTTAAAATGATCAAATATGGCCGAAAATCTAGTACTTCGCTTAAAATGACGGTTTAGCGACCATAAAGGAAAGTTTATCATAAATAAAAAAATTGGCGCGAAAGTATTTATAGAAAAGGTACTATGAAACTACGTTACAGCTGTCAGAATGTGACTGAAGCCAAGATGCTTGGTCAGGACCAATAACATTGCTGATTCTACTTTAGATTTTATCAAAGATCTCTAAATATATAGCAGGATAACCAGACCATATATTGCAGCAATATTCAAAGCATGGACGGTTAGTAGACTTATAAGTATATACGATAGATTCGGGTGAGAAATATTGTCGAGCACGACACTGTGAACTGACTTCCCTAGCAGTAGATCCAGCAATTGATTCAATATAATTTTTCTGCTTTGTGTAAGCAGAGAATGTAAGCTGAGAAGGTGCAACGGGTCACTCTCCTGGAGGTTAGCATCAGCCATGCTGACAGAAAACATAAAGACCATTTTTAGATCAGGTGCCAATTTGACCTTATCGAACAGATCAAACATACTAAGAAAGGGATTAAATAGATCTGTCATAAATATAGATACTGAATTGAGGAATGATGACATCAGGAGGGTCGTTGAGGGAAACTGGGAGCAACGTAAGTCCAAGGAAATGCATTAATGTAAAAAGATCTAGAAGAGTGGCCGTTCTAGACAACATTCATTTCATGATTTGATAAGTAAGAATGAACTAGATCAAAAACTCTTTAAAAATCATTAACAGTTTTAAGAGTAAGTAAAGCGATATGAGCAATCCGAATTCAAATGACAGTTATGACAGATTTTGTCCAATTTACATGTATGCCCTTGAGAAAGACATGAATCTGTCTATTTTTTATAACTTTTATCTAAAAATAGCAGAGTAGACTGAGCTCTCTAACTTGATACATAACAGATCAAAACACTAATTTCAACTCCAACCTATAAAAATCTATTTGTGCTACAGAAATTGCAGTAAAATCAATTAGTGCAGTTACCACCCAACTTTCGTCGAGTCTAGAAGAATCCTCAACAGAATGCAGAAAACACTGAACGGCCGTTTCGACCTATATTTGGAACTCATCAGCAGTGTTAATTACTTAATTATCTCAAATCCTCCTTAATTTCTATCATTTGTATATCCTTACTTGAACCAGCTTCTAATGCTCTGGATGGAGCGGCTTGGTGATGGTAGCCGTGGCGCTCGGGGACACAGTCCTGTGGGTAAAGGAAACTCGGATGAGTTCCACCACGGGATATGGGAACGAGCGGCGCAATATCAAGTCTAATTCGCTACCTCTTCGTCACCGAGGCCCGTTAGTACAGTAATGTAACTGTCCGGGTTTCAATTCTCAGTAGTGGATGCGCATTGCTGATGAGTCCCAAATATAGGAAGAAACGGCCGTCCAGTGCTGTCTGCATTCAGTTGAGGTTTTTTCTGGACGATGAATTACTTAACATATACATACATACATACATATATATATATATATATATATATATATATATATATATATATATATATATATATATATATATATATATTTTATTAAGTTGATGCTAATTTTTCCAGCATTTTATTCATATAAATTCATAGCATTATTATTTCTTCATGAAAATATTTTCCCGATTTACCGACCAGATTACTTAAAATTTATTTCCTCTTGTCTATCTCCCTATCTAGTTTGTATTTTTGCAATTTTTTGTGGTCTTTCGATTTGTTTTTATCCTTTTTTTATTTTTACTTGTCATTGTCATGATGATATCAGGTTAGAAAAGGAAATAAATTGAAAGGTTAACAAAAAATCCATCAAATCTTCCTCCTCCGCCTAACAGTTACTCTTATATATATATTATATATATATATATATATATATATATATATATATATATATATATATATATATATGTTTCCAACTTGGCCTCAAGTTATTATTTCACTTTGTAAATTTTTTTCCATTCAAAACGCACAACACACACAAACAAACTCTCTCTCTCTCTCTCTCTCTCACACACACACACACACACACACACAAAAAAAAAAAAACTCCCGGGAAATCTTTTCAGCATTATCTGACGGTAGAATTGCGTGCTTGTAAAGAAAAGCTTTACATGCTTGAAAATATGGTAATCCATAGAAAAGGGATCGGATAAATCGGTCAGATGCATAAAATGGGCACATTCAACTGGAATATGGAGTTGACGTTTTTTAACTGTCACTACTTACTATTATTCGGACTATTGTCCTCATCTTTGTCGCCATATTTATTACAACGTTTCGGCCGTTGTACGCTCCGGCCGTCTTTAGGTGGTTGGAATGTCGAACTGCATCATTTATTTCGCTCACTGGGTTAGACTGATCTAGTTCCACGTGCCATGCTTTTAATGGATGTCAGTTATCAGTTATCTCTTGTTAATTCCCCTCTGAAAGTTCTCCACTGCCTTGAACTCTCACTCTCTGGGTCTTGTCACTCGATTTAACCAACGCCTTTATCCACTGTGCCATGTGTCCAACCACCTGAAGAAGTCCGGAGCGTACAACAGCCGAAACGTTGTAATAAATGTGGCGACAAAGATGAGGACAATAATCCGAATAATGTAAATAGCGTACATAATACCTCATCTCAGAAATATATAAAGGTAACTTTGTCAACTAGTCGTGGTAAAATAATTGGTTACTGGAAACGATTAATAATATTTATTTGTGTTTCTTTCATCTTAATTTCATTTTCTTTTTATCGCAACTAACCAGTTTTAACTATCTATAATAATAGTACCGTGACATTTCTTTTCGATCAAGCATTGTCAATTAATCGTCTTCTCTTTTGTTAGTATTTCTGTCATATTTAATACCCATAACATATAATGAAGGCTGAAAAAGCGGGAAATACCAACTAACATGCTTAACGAGATTTTGTAATTGGATGACAGAATACGAACAAGAAAAAATGATAAAAAAAATAAATAATAGCTAGAACAAGAAAATGAAGTTGTGGGACGCCATGATGGTCTGAATAATTTATTTTGTTTTTATTTAATTCTCATCGTCGATACGCCATCATACGAATATTCTTAGTAATACTATTTGTATTTTATAAGTATATAATTCTAAAACCATTTTAGTTCTCATGCCATAGAACATGGTCAATTATTATTGACGTTTTACAACGTTTTCTTTCATCATAATTTGAACTGCGTTTCATCTCAACTACACAGACCGTCAGATATCTTGGATTGGAAATACTGAATATTCCTTTCGCGAATCTAGCTCTTGAGCTCATAGAATAGCAATATGGTTTTCTGCGAAGAAATTGAACGGACATTATGAATTAATAAGAAATACATACTAGTAATTGATAATCCTTCGACTAATAAAAGAAAATTTAATAATAATAATAAAACTAATACTTATGTACTTAAAACAAATACCGTCAAATATGGTGTCCAGCATCAAATATGGTGATCGGGGAAAATAATTAATAAATATATGAGGTTAGATATGATCATCTGATAAAACTTGTTCACACAGTGACGTAGCTGTCAGAGTTTTCTCAAAGAAAGGGATGCGATTTCGAATCTTGCCTAAATCATATTCTTTATTTCAGTCACGTTATCTATTGTTGCGATTAAAAAAGATTACAATTAAGATGAGAGATATAGTCAAAAGTTAGTGTTGTCTCTATGTAATACATTTTGATAATTTTATACTAAGGGAATTAAGTTTTGGAACTTCCTTCGTTCTATTAGACGACGTGTGACGAGTGGTCATGGAATGTTTCAAGTTAAAGTATGATTTTTTTTTCCTTGAGTCAGTCTATGTGTATAGAGCCGATAACAACACACTAATAAAACAGGCGTTTCACACTTAACGAAAAAAGATAGAAGGTAGCGTATATATTTGGACAACCAAAAGCTCTCGTCCTGGGTATGACAATAAACTACATCCGCGTCCTAGGTATGACGATTAACTACATCCGCGTCCTGGGTATGACGATAAACTATATCCGTGTCCTGGGTATGACGATAAACTACGTCCAACAGCAAGGCCTCTGATAATACGTTTTTGAAAAAATAATGTTGCCAGCTGTACGTTTTTGAAAAAAATAATTTTACTAGCTATACGTTTTTGAGGAAAAAAATATAAACAGAAATGGATTTTTCACAAAACAAAAATATTACCAGGAAAAAAAAAGTTGTCGGCATTAAATGACCCATTGAGGTTGATGTGCCGTAAAACAAAGCAAACCAAACCAAACCAAAAACTCATCTGAGAAAGATCCCACGATAATCCACATAACTGAGTTGATCTTTATAGATTAAAACTGACATTGTGAAAATATGATATTTTAAGCAGCATTTCTTCTCCTACGACTAAGGATAGTTAGTCAGACTGACTGGTTGTCAATCATGACTGAGTACAAAGTATCCAGGCTGATCCTTACTTGGTATATCATATAAAATTCGATATTTACCCATCAAGGGTTAAAATGT